ACAGCCTGGTTTTGGGTATTAAAACTTCTGCTTCCCAGCTGGAGACAGCCCCAGTGCCTCTAAATAATTTATCTAAGCCCCATCACCCAGAAGGTGGCCAGAATCCCATTACAGTGTCGGTGGTGTCAGTCTTCTGGGGGGTCCTTTATCTGACTCCCATTCCTGAGCAGCACCCCAAACCCAAGGCCTCAGCATTTGCCTCAGCAGTGAACAAGAAACACTTGACCCTTAGTGCCTGAAAATGAGGTGCCTTCAAGGTCACAGTACCTGACTGCAGTCCTGGCTCCTTGAGGAACTGTCAGGACACAAACAAACTCTGCCTCTCTGCCCGTCAGCCTTTAGGTAGTGCCATACAGGGCAGCATCTCCAAGCTAACTGAGGTTTCTGTTCCTTTAACTTTACAACTACTCTCAATCCAGCTGCCACAAGTGTGCTTTCCTCCTCTCCTCCCCTCCTCCCCTCCTCCCCTCCTCCCCTCTTCCCTTCCTCCCCTCCTCCCCTCCTCCCCCTCCTCCCTCCCTTCCTCCCCTCCTCCCTCCCTTCCTCCCCTCCTCCCCTTCTCCCCTGCTCTCCTCTTCCCCTCCTCCTCTCCTCCCTTCCCTTCAGTCCTCTTTATTTGTACTTCTCTTCTTTCTTTAACTTTATTTTGTATCCGTGTAGGTGTCTTGCCTGCATGTATGTATGTGAAACATATGCATACATGGTGCCTACACAGGCCAGAAGAGGGTGTTAGATCCTGAACTGGAGTTCAGAAGATTGTGAGCTACCATGTGTGTGCTGGGAACCAAACCCTGGTCTTGCTGTAGAAAAACAGCTAGTGGTCTTAACCATCTCTCCAGTTCCCCTTTCTCCTCTTCCTCCTCCTCCTCCTCCTCTTCCTCCTCCTCCTCCTCCTCCCCATCCTCTCTCCTTTCTTTTTGTTCTTTTCTTGTTTCCCCCCTGTGGCCTTCAGCTTATGTAGTCTAGAAGAACCTTGGGCTCCCTTCTCTCCCTTCCAAGTGCAGAGATGCCACCGTTCTCAGCCCCCAGCTTATATGGGTTTTACTTGATGAATTCAGGACTCTCCATACATCAATTTGGGGGATCAGTGAGTATTTCAAACATGCTTTTTTTTTTTTTTTTTTTTTTTTTGGTTTTTCGAGACAGGGTTTCTCTGTGTAGCCCTGGCTGTCCTGGAACTCAGTCTATAGACCAGGCTGGCCTTGAACTCAGAAATCCGCCTGCCTCTGCCTCCCAAGTGCTGGGATTAAAGGTGTGCGCCACCACCGCCCGGTTTCAAACATGCTTTGTTAAAGACACTGCACATTTTGGTTTCTTGGCACAGAGAAAAATAGAGCTGGAACTGAGCTGGAGCATGGCTAGCTCCCACAGTGCCAGAACGCAGGCTGCTGGGGCAGAAAGTCAGCAGCAGTCTTCCCAGCTGTGGGCAAAGTGTGTACAGCAAACAGCCAGGGAGGCGTGCCCACTGGTGTAACAGTGGCATGATTGTTACGGGGGTGACCAACTACTTCTGATTGGATCTGGGGCTGGCTCCACTGGAGGGAACCCAAGTACTATGAACCTGGTCAAAAGCCATAGCTGGGGTGGGGAGAGGCCCTGCTGCGAAGTTACTATTCCTGTTTAGCTAAATGGATATGCTGTGCGCTTTAAATTACCTTCTAAATATTCATAATTATGCCCATAAGTCAGTGCTGCTAATGGTTAGAGGAAGTTCTTTTGCTGTAGGTGGCATAACAGCCCTGAGAATAAGAGATTGTTTGTGCTCATCTTTAAATGAGATCTCAATATCACCCACTCCAGGGTACAGAAACATCGTTCAAGATGGAAGGAAAGACTAGAAGAGCAGGAGATGGGGACAGCGCTGTGAGATGCTGTTTCCTAGATAAGATATGGCTATTACACTCTGAAATTCACAGCAGCTGTGGTTACCAGACAAGACTGGGCTGTCAGTGTTCTGCCCTACATGTGGGAGGGGCTTATGAAGTTCTGCTCTCCCTAAGGAGCTACTGACGCCTACCACGGCTGAAAGAGAAGGAAACATTTTCTTCAGGGGTGTGGTTACTGTGAAGTTGCTCGTAACCCCTCACCTTTGCTCATGTACGCACCCCTAATCAAATTCGATAGTCCACCCCAACTCCCAAAAAGGCATTAAGGTGTATGTGTGTGTGTGTGTGTGTATGTGTGTGTGTGTGGGGGTGGGTGCTGTTTGAAAAAAGGAAGGGTCAGCAGGAGTGGAGAGGATGAGAGAAGAGGTAAACGGTAAACATGGTCAAAATGAATCATATATGTGTGAAAATGTCACCGCAGTCATTATGATGTGCAACGCATGCTAATTATAAAAAGCAAACTCCACTTTTTATTAACAGAACAGGCTGGGCATGATGATGTACAAGACGTAGGTTGTGATGGTTGGTATGTGCTCGGCCCAGAGAGTGACACTATTTGGAGGTGTGGCCCTGTTGAAGTAGGTGTGTCACAATGCGTGTGGGCTTTAAGACCCTCATCCTAGCTGCCTGGAAGCCAGTTTTCTCCTAGTCTTCAGAGGAAGGTGTAGAACTCTCACCTCCTCCTGTACCATGCCTGCCTGGATGCTGCCATGCTCCCACCATGATGATAATGGACTGACCCTCTGAACCTGTAAGCCAGCCCCAATTAAATGTTGTCCTTATAAGAGTTGCCTTGGTCATGGTGTCTGATCACAGATGTAAATCCCTAACTAAGACACAGGTGGATCTCTGAGTTTGAGGACAGCCTGGTCTGCATACTGAATTCCAGGCCATCCAGAGCTACATAGTCAGACATCCTTCTCCCACTCCAAAGGTGGGGTGATTCCAAACCAAAAAACCGTGTCTTGAAGCCCTGCCCAATGTCTGACAGGAGTTGTACTAACTGATTTTGTGTGTGAAGTTGACAATGATGGAGTTATCACAGGTAAAGGAACCTCCCTTGAGGAAATGCCTCCATGAGAATCAGCTGTAAGACATTTTCTCAATTAGTGATTAAGGGGAAAGGGCCCAGTCCATTGTGGGTGGTGCCATCCCTGGGCTGGTAGTCTTGGGTTCTATAAGAAAGCAAGCTGAGCAAGCCAGGGGAAGCAAGCCAGTAAGTAGCATCCCTCAGTGGCCTCTGCATCAGCTCCTGTTTCCAAGTTCCTGCCCTATGTGGGTTCCTGTCCTGCCTTTGGTGATGAACAGCAATGTGGAAGTATAAGCTGAAGACACCCTTTCCTCCCCAACTTGCTTCTTGGTCCTGATGTGTTATGCAGGGATAGAAACCCTGACTAAGACAGGAGCCAATGGAGGAAAGTAAGAAAAAAACAACCTAAGTGGTAAAATAATGTTTTATTCCATGGATGACAGACGCTACCATGCCACATCCCCGCGGCCCCTGACCCTTCTTGCAGATGCTTTGCCATCGGCCAAACCTGTTGAAATATGAAAGCATGTTCTGTCTGTCAGCACAAGGTCCCTTCTCACCAATGGCGATGCATTGCCTATGGAAACCCCAGGATGCAACTCTTCCAACAGACCTAACACGAACCAATGCTCCAAGCTCATGTGGACGCAACCAAAGCCCCCAAACATCAACAACGACAAAAGAATATCAACATGGACACATCTCTGAGGACAGGGTTTCGGGATGCCCCAGAAGGAGTGTCCCAGGATGATGAAAACTGACATACAGGTCGTCAACAATCCCAAGGGGGAGTGATGGTGATCGGTATATTTCAAACTGGCACTTTTGGAAAAGCCAGAGAGGAGTCTGCATGCAAGCTCAACACAAGTGCCTCAGAGGGGGTGGGGCTGCACAGATGCCAGACACACGTTTCTTGTTTTATATACAATGGAATGAAATATACATGGTGACAGTAGTCACACATCTGGTCGGTGTGTATCTTACAGGGCTGATGAGGTTGAAGGAAGCTCACCAACCTTGTTGTCAGAGCAGGAGGGAGGAGCTATCTCTGGGGCTGGTGTTGACAGGGAGTTCTTCCACACTGCCTGTAGGATACTCATGATGTTGGCATGACCAACGTAATGATACTCATTACTGGGCAGACCTAGGAGTGGAACCCAATGTACTGTCTTGTGGTTTTTAAGCAAATGTTACCTGAAAAGACTGGACAACTGATTGAGGGGGGGAAAGGTATCAGTTGTAAGGACACATGTGATGGGTGGTGGATCCACAGGCAAATCCTAGCGCCACTCAGGGGATAGAAGGTTTTACCGATTGGCTTTCAGTGAGGTCTGCTGGGTGCTCTGTGTTCTTGGTGTCTGCAGTACCTCCACCAAGTTTAACAGAAACAGCAGGTGTTCCAGAATAATCTCTTTATCCAAACAAGCAATATGGTAAGCAAAAGAACAAAAAGACAGAAAGAAACTCAGAGTGAGACAGTTCAGGGCGGAGAGGTGGGGTATCCAGTTAAATCATAGAAAAAAACACAGAGCAGTTCTACAAGGTTAGCCATGGGCAGAGCTATAGTCTTACTTTGTACATAAAAGACCTGTTTTCTGGATGCAGATAGGAACAGTGGGGGGGCTTTTATAACAACAGAGAGGGGCCTGGCATGTCTGGGCACTGCGGAGACAACCATGCTGTCCCTTTCTACATCGCAGCTCTGTCAGACAGGAAGCCAGACTGACAGGTGGGAACAGCAATGCCGTGCCAGTGTAGACGGTGGGCCTCAAGGTCACAGAGAGAAAGCTCGAACTTAAGTGCCAGTTTTCTTGGGCTCAAAGTGTGCCCTCACTGTCATCTGTCCTTCGCTTTGTCCCTTGGGGAAGGGACATGGGATGTGCCAGTCACTGGGGGCCGGGAATAGGCCATGCTGCTGAGATGGGGTTGTTCCAGGCTGTGTGGTGACTCGTTTCCACCTGGAGCTTGGTGCCCACCACCAAATGGCCTTCGGTATCGAGACACATGCTATGGAACGCCGGCACCGCCACTCCCACTGCCCTTGGAGGGAGGGTGGTGGTGGGGGGGGACTCCTCATTTGCATATTGTAGAAAGAGCCATCATGTCTGTGCTTAGGTCTCAAGCGTGGTTAGTCCTCCTCCTCGTCCTCTTTTGCTGTGGCTGTTGGTAGCTTGTCCTGGATCCTGAAACATTCTACAAAGAAGCCGATGATAGACCTGTACAGGTGCTGCTTGAGTGCCACACTGTGGAAGTAGTGACTTTCATCTGGGTAGATCTGTGAAGGGAGAAGAGAGAGGTTTCTTACTCACGCGTCACCCTCCTAAAGAGATTGACTGCCGAGGCATGGAGGGTGTGCAGTGTAGGAAAAGCCAGGTCCCCACACTCTGATGTCTAGCTGCAGGATGATTTTCCTAACGGCTGGGGTCCCAGCTTCAGTGCCCTTTGCTCTGGGGAGCTCTGTTTCTGTACCAGGCAGAGGGCTCTTGCAGCCCCAGCAGGTCATGAAAACTGATCCATCTCCTCTAGAGCTCCTCCCTTGGTACCTTTCTTCCTCTCACCAGAGGCAGTGGATATAGTAAGGATTAGGTGAGAAAACTTAGAGAACGCCTCATTTAGTGGACTCAATGACCAGAACTACTTGTCCTAATTTACAACCAGAGTAAAACACTCAGGAGCTACAGGGTCTCTCTCTCTCTCTCTCTCTCTCTCTCTCTCTCTCTCTCTCTCTCTCTCTCTCTCACACACACACACACACACAGAGACAGACAGACAGACAGACAGACAGACAGACAGACTTCTAGCTAAGTGGTTCTCTGAGGATGGCAATGAGCCCCAGGTCACCTCCTGTCTGGACCCTCACATTCGGTTTGGTGCACACTCACAGGGCTGTGTCTTGGGTCCAGGTGATGTGGGAAGGAAAACTGAATAAAGTCTGGTTCATAATGTTTTGTGAGAATTGAACACTACACAGACATGTCATGCAGATTGGCTCTTTTGTATATGGTCGGTGCAATGACATAACCTGTCCTCTAGAGGCACTGTGCAAATCCTGCATGCATGAGCATAGAAGCCAAGCCTGACTTGGCTGGAACCTTGCTTTTTCTTTGAGCCCAGTCTCATTCTGAATCTTGTATTCTTCTCATGCCTTTTAGAGTGACATCATCATTTTTTTTAAGCCTGGAATATGTATGTTTAACTCACGAGATGTACAGAAGACAGTAAGGTAGCATCCCTCTCCTTGCTTTGCCCCCTGTCTCTGTGCTCTCCCCTGGAGCTTGTCATGACTGCAAAGTCTTGAGTCCTTGAGAGGCATCTGTTGTGCTGCCACGCATGGCCCCAGGAGAGTCTCTTTTCTAGGCACAGATGCCATGATGTGTGTAGAGTGTACTTAAATCATGAGTGTATCACACCTTGGAATACAATGTAACCAAATCCTCCACACCATTCAACAACTCTCAGGCCAAGGCCTCTTCCTGATTCAACCCACACACATGGCTGCTACAGATCAGTAGATGCTGAATGCTCAGGCAAATGGTGGTCAAAGCCAGACAGACACTCTCTGAGGAAGACAGGGTGCCGTTTGCCTCTGCATTTTAAAAGATGGAGGGGTTGAAGCTGTCTCATCAAAGGAACCAGAGGGCAAAAAGGAAATAAGAGCAGTTTCCTGCATCCCTGGGAGAAGGCAGGAATGGATGGATACCAGTGAAGGCCATCATGGGTTTGGTCTCTGGGTTTGGTTCCTTGGATAGGTGGTTCTATTGTAGCCACAGTGGTAGAGGTGCTTGGGCCACACTCACCGGGGGCACCTATGCTACAACTCGGGCCCTCCCCGCACCTACATAACACTGCTGGGGGAGTGCATATGCCGGCTTGGCCTTTGTCACTGCTTAGGAGAGGAGTGTGGGGCAGGGTGGTGCGGGATGAACAGTGGTGGCTTGCGTATAGAGGTGAGTTGCTGTCAGCTGAAGGGACTTCTGTGATCTGCTGTGGACCCACTCATCCCTGTACCATGACGACAGGGACAATCTTAAGTATTGACCTAACAGGTGGTAGCATTCGTTACCTGTAAGCTGTAATTGGCCTTTCCCTTGATCAGCTGAGTGATGAGCTCAGCTGTGTGCTGGAAATGGATTTTTTCTGTAGAAGAAAACAGAAGCAGACGTTGGCCAAAACTCACGTCACCACCGGGGGTGGGGGGGACCTTCATTCCCCAGGGGGGCTGTGCAGGACTCTGTCCTTACCATCAGCTGTAGCGTGGATGATCAGGAACTGCTGGTCCTCCAGTGCTGACACACGGTGTGCCAGCTTGGTCATCTGCATGTGTGGGGCAAGGGGACAGGGTTAGCTGGGGGATGGGGTCAGGGAGCAGGTGGGGAGTGGGAACGTTGATGGAGGGTTCAAGGCAAGTGGAGGGAAATGCTAGGTGTCCCGGAGAGAATGGGAAACATGGAATCCAGCATGGGAAACCAGCAACTCCCTTAGGAGACAAGGGCAAAGGAGAGAGTGAAGAGGGTTCCCCAAGCACAGGCGGCCTTAGAGGGCCATCATGTCATCCTGTGACACTGAACAAGCTTGTCCCTCTGTCCATGCAGAGTTCTGCCTGACCACAGGACGCTGGCCTTCTGCCTGTGCACGGCTGACACTGAGAAGCACAGTTCCCAGCTCACCCTCCCACAGGGGAACGGTCCTCAATGTGGGGATCAGGAGCCTCAACATCCTGCAGTTTCATAGGTTTTCTCATCTCTCCCCACCCATCAAAGCCAAGCAGCAGAGCAGATGAGCAGACAGAGGCCACATTAATCCAGTTCAGTGCAGTGGAAAGTGACCCCAAAGTTTGGATGGTGGAGAAGACCAGCCCTTAGAAGCAGGAGTGGCTGGAGGCGGGGCAGGAAGAAGGATGGGATGAAGGGGAATAGTAGATTGACCAGTTTCACCTGGTCCACTGCCTTGCCCGATAGCAACTATGCCAAACGTACCTCATACGCTCTGTTGTCGAGTCCGTGGAGGCCAAGGTACCTCTCGGAAAATGCAGAGGCTGGATAGAGACAGAGGGAAGGGGTCATCTTTGGTTCTCCAGGGCTCCAGTGGGGCAGAACCCAGATGGAAGGAATGAGGCTGCAGTGTGGGACCTTCCCCCACCACTGACATGGCAAATGTGAGCCTTTTGTTTTGTTTTGAGACAAGGTCTCACTATTGCAGTTTTAGCAGGTTGGGCCAGAATGGCCGCACTTACCAGAATACCCCTGTTTCTGCCTCCCAAGTGCTGGGATTAAATCTATGCACCACCATTCTGGGCTTAAACTTTGGGTGTTAAAAAAATACCTTCTAAATCTTCTGGGTCATGGCATAGGAGTCAAACAGTGTGTGTGTGTTTGTGTGTGTGTGTGTGTGTGTGTGTGTGCGCGCGCATGCTCACGGGTGGCATGTGTGCTATGCTTAAATGTGTCATTTCTGGTGGGTTTCTCTAAGTCAGCTCAGGTCTTGGTTCTGCACATGACCTGATGTGTACCAGGTGACAGAGAAGGAGGCAGAACTCCTACAGTGTTGCCAGGAAAACCAAGGATAAAGGAAGGAGTCACCTCAGTGTCACAGGGTGAGTTAAGAGGGTAATGAATGGGACTTCCCAGTTGTGGCTCATCAGGACCCAGGTGGGTTGGGGAGCTATGCAGGGACAGTGCCTGCCTAGCATGCAGGAAGCCCTGGGTCCTATACTTAGCATTGAAAAAGGGGTAGGTGTGGTTCAATTCATGCCTATTTGAATCAAGCAGAGTTGGAATAGCATGATTAAGAAATTAAGAAGGTCTCATTGAGTTTGAACAATCCAACATACAACCATGTTCTCATAAGAAAGGTTATCAGGAGTCGAAGCAGGAGTTTCTTATGGAAAAGTCAATGAAATTTGCATTAAAGCTGTGAGCCTCTGGTCCTTGAACCTCAGAGGCTGCTAGACCAGTGCCCTACCCAGCTCTGGCCTGATGCATGGGGCCTACAGGTGCTAAGAGAGGGCACATGGTCCACAGGAGGCACACAGAGAGGAGGTCAGCTCCCACAGTACTCCAGCAGACCTGAGACAAGAATACTCCAGGTTCTTGGCATCACTTAATATGGGGTCCCTTGGGGCTGGCTCACAGCCTGGTACCCTGGAGCCCTGAACAGAATGTGTATTGTCAGAGCCACTTAGCCCTTTGTGTTGAGTATTGTCAAGCCACACACTGACAAAAAAAGGGATGGATATCTAAAGAGAGGACAGTTCATGGCCCAGGACTCTAACACAGTGTAGTCTGAGCAGGGCAGATGAGTCTACCTGGCCAGATGGCTCCCTCTCACCCTAGGTAGTCTGGACCCCACAACAAGTCATCCTGACAACCTGTCTCCCAGCTCTGGTCCTGCTCATGGGGAGTTTCACACTGCATACTGATTAGAGACTTCCCTTCTGCCCCAGGGCATCAGTATGCACTGGGGTGGGGTGGGGGTGCTTGTTATTGGGCACAGAGATGCTGAAGAGAAAGATGAGGTCATGCTGCAAGCTCAGCCCTGGGTCTTATCGAGGCCATTACCATAGAGTTTGAAGTCTGTTATTGGAGAGAGCGCAGAGCCGCAGGTGAAAGTCTGACCTTGATTTTCTCCCTTGGCTGGGAGGATGTAAGTGCTCAGGTACCCACCATAATCCTAGGAGAGACAAGAAGGAAGGAAAGAGGCAAGGGGCGGGGTTACCCTCCACAACTCAGCAGGAAACCAGCCCCAGTCCAGGAAGGCCAGCCTCTAACACGTGTGTTCATACAGTTTTTTTTTAATTGAACTTTAAATATTCTTGTTGGGCAATAAATGAGACACTAAACAGCTTCCCATGTGACATCGTCTCTTCAGGACCCAGTGCCCAGGGACCCAGGTTAAGTATGCTAATGACATAGAGTGTAATCTCTACCTAGGATGGTGACAAAGGAAAGCTGGTGTCCAGCATTCCAGTCCAGCTGACCGCCCATCGTCCCTCCCACTTCCTCACATAGCCAGTGCCTGTTTCTGTGATCTAAGGGAAGGTGAACCAGGGCCTGGATGGGTGGAGAAACAGGCCTGTCACTCAGGGCTTCATGAAACCCTCATGTGTGTCCTGCAGGCAGAGTGAGCCCTCAGCACCCATGTGGCCTGACTGCTGGGCATGGGGAACACCAGCTTGTTCTCCTAGCTGAAGCTGTACTCCGCCACTGTGTGGCTCCTTTTAAGTATTACAGGCTGCTGAGAAGAGTCAAGGGGAAGGGGATGGAAGTGATGCTTGCCTGAGCACAAATGGGCTGAGAGAACCAGGGAACAGTGGAGGTTACAAAAGTCTTACATGACTGTCTACGTGGGTGTATTCGTGAGCATGTTAGAGAGGAGGGGGCAGGTAGAGGAAGATGGAGAGGGAGAGAGAGGTGAACATTTGTGAGCTTGTGTATATATGTGACCATATAAGCAAAGGAACGTAAGAACATGTATGCATGTGTGCATGTATGCTTACGTGTATGGGCATACAGCTGAAAATACAGTTGCATGTGTATGAATGTATTGTGAGCCTGTGTACTTATGTGAACATGTGACTACATGTGTGTATGAGTGTGTAAATATTGGTGTGGTATAAACATGTATGTGTGAGAGTGTATGTGCACATATGTAGCTATACGAATACATGTGTGTGCATGTGTGCAAATCTGGGTGTGCTGACCATGGCAACATTGGGTGTGGACAACCTCACAGTCGATGAAGCCTGGGTAACATCCACATCATGCCAAGCTCCTCGTTGGTTTGATAGTGTGTCCATTTTGTTATACTGTACTGTGGTAGTGGGTTTTTTTTTTAAAGCAGGGCAGGAAAGTCTTGTCAATATTTTAAAATAACAATGAAAGTTTTTCAGTTTTCTTTCCTTCTTTTCTTCCTTCCTTTTTTCCTTCCTTTCCTCCTCCTTTTCATCTTCCTCCTTCTCCTTCTGTAGACAGGACTATTTAGCACAGGGTGGCCCCAGACTCTCCTTCCTGCTCTGTAAGAGTCCCAAGGGTTATAAATGTGCACCACCACATCCAGCACATCATTTTCTAGGAAGTAGTATTTTTTTTGTCAATGTTCTCTACATGTTCCTATAAGCCATTCTGGCCAGAGTGGACAGGAAACGGCTCATAGATGTCCCCTTGTCTGTGAGGAGCAGGCACTTCTGCACAGGGTTCTGTGGCCCTGAGCTCCCTCGTTGTGGAAGGGAGGGATACCTAGAGCTAGGGTGCATGAAGACTCACGTAGCTCGTGAGGAAACAGGAGGAAAGGTCACAGAAGGCTGACGTACTGAAAGAATTGATGGCACCTGGTGGGACCGTTCAGTGCAATAATAGTAAGAAGAATTGACGGTCCATGGCGAGTACCCTGGGAGAAGGGAAGTGAGAACCCAAATTGAAGGCTCACAAAGACTCTGTTTAAGACATGCTTGGACAAAGCACAACAAACCCCAGACAGACCAGGCTACTAAGTGAAGTGTGACCCCACTCAACAGAACTGGAAAGGATAGATCCATCAAGGCTGCATGCTTGACTCAGGCTGGAGATGAATGGTATCAGAATGTGCTTGGTTCTTCTCCACATGACACATTCGGCTGCCTGTGTACCCAGTGGGCTATACTTTGGTAAAGCCCACTAACATCCAGAAGACCCTGGGCCAACTGTGGCCAGGGAAAGTGACATGGCCCCAGTGGGTAGGACTGTCTGAGGCAAAGGAAGAAGGCCGGGCTAGCTCACCTTTGAGCTGGACATTGGTGTGTGTTTGGAGAGAGTGAAACTCAGTGAAGACACAGGTTCTGGCTCTCTCACTTCTACCATCCGGGTTGTTGGGAAGTCAGTGTGTAAGGATTAAGGGGTATGGTGAGTATTGACCCCCAGATAAGTTTATCAGTGATCTAGCTGGCTCTGGGGTTCTCACAGGCAGTGTCTAGAACAAGTCTTGGGGGCTATCTCCAGGCTCTGTTCTGTTTCTGAGCCAAGAAGAGAGTCCACTAGAGCCTCTCTCTGTGGCCTCATCTCTGTGGGTTCAGATGAAATGACTCTACAGGTTCATGTTTGGAGTGTTATTCTGGGATACCATGGAACGTTCTGGACATGAGCCTAACTGTCAGGCATTGGGCCGTGAGTTCCCTCTTTAAAGAAGAAGGGCTCCTGGGGTCCTAGCACAGTTGTTAAGATGCAAGGCCACAGCCAACCTTCCATCCTCAGTCTCTCTGCTTTCTCTGCTTCCCAACCCTCACTCCAGAGGTAACTCTTCCTCTCACTACCACAGCCGCTCTGCCTTCCCAACACGGAAGCCATCAGAGATCATTTCTCCCTCAAGTAGCTTTTTGTCAGGCAGTTTTGTTTGGTAAGGGCCATGAATAAAGTAATTCAGTAGTGTTGGGCTCTGTTGGGCCTGTATCTGGAGTCTTGCACACAATGCTGTCAGGTCCCAGGATACACTGCTTCCTAGTCTGTGATGTGTATTCTGATGGTGACTGCTGGGCTGCCCTTAAAGGGCTGTGCTGGGGGTGAGGCAGGGTGTCCAGAGCCATGAATTTTCTGAGAGGAAGGGGTCTCCAGCCTCTAGGTTGTATGAAGAGGAGAGGGTGGCCTACTAGGCCACACAAGTGGCCCTTGGAGACCTGATTCCCATCCCTGGGCCTCTATGACAGCCCACAGAGGCCCACCCAAGCCATGTGATGAAGTGCCAGGTGGAAACTGCTCTGCTTTAGCCATGGGAAGCCACAGCCTTCCTTCCCTCTGAGAAAACATGAGGATTAATGCGGCTGGTGTGCCCAGCAGAGCTCACCAGGCCCTGCAAGGAAAGAGATGGGGGCTCCCAGGGAGGTTCATCCGGTTCTGTGCTCCAGGGCTGACAAGCCCAGGCTGAAGACTGTGAGACTCACCTTCCCAAACACAGCTACCCGAGTCTTGTCAATGTACTGCTCCTTCAGCATGGTTCTGCAGACAGAGGGGAGAGAGGGAGAGAGTTCATGAGGATCTTCTCTATTGCCTAAGGTCTACAGCTATATTGATTATCCAAAGCACGCATGAAGAACCTCTTCAAACTAGAAAGGATCTTGGCATTCTAAATGCAGTTGCTTATTGCTTTTATTTGTGTGGCGCTCACAGTATATTTACACCCGAAATGCATGGCACCCTTGTGAGGCTTCTCCAGAAACTTCCAGGTGAAACGTTGGAGCACCAGGGAGCACCAGAGACCTTGGGCCTCTCGTGCATTCCCTGCCATCTTCTCTTCTGCAGTAAGGTGCTGGGTTATGTGACTGTCCTTACACAGGGGACTTCACACCCATCACGTGGGCTCCAAAGGCATATGAGTGGACAAAGGACTTTCAGAGCTGGAGAGCATCAGGGAGTTACCACAATGGGTGGTGTCAACCTTCTCCTTCCACACAGAAGATCTGCCCTGAGGTCTGGTGGTGCCAAGCCTTATGACCATTGCTGGGCTCTTGTTCTGTGAGCTCCTGGGTTGAGAAGTGATATCACTGATGTTTGTCTAGAGCATGTTTGCTGTTGTCTTTGCTCAGCTGGTGAGCTCACTCCTTGTTTTTAGAGAATGAGAGAAAAGGGTCCTTATCTTTTTTATCCCCAAGCTCCGACAGGGTGGCACCAGGGATTACGTGCTCACAGGTTGAGTCCAGAGGAGTCAGGATGTTATTTCTGGGCTCTCCATGACAGGGAGGAGACAGTGGGCCTCAGTGTCAGATGGGATGAAGTAAGAGCAGGAGAAGACAGGGAAGGGAACTAGGCAGGAGGGCAGGAGGCAAGGATAGTGCTCCTAAGAGCACCCTCCATCCCCAGCCTGTTGAGATGCTACCTCACTTTCCCTAGGCAGCCTGTCTGGTGCGGTGTGGGTTACAGGCAGCCATCTGCTCCTCTTCCTTACAGACAGAAGCCAGTGTTCACTTGTCCCTGTCTTTCCTCGGCCAGGGATTATCCCACAGCCAGAATCAGGGTCAGCTGGTCTCCTGGAAAGCCAGCTTGCTAGCTGATGATGCAGAGCCTTACAAGTGTTCCCAGGCCAGGCTATCTTGTGCTGGTGTGGGGCAGGGGTTCGGGTTCTGGATCCTGCAGGGTAAGTGGAGGGAAATGAAGAGAAGGTTCCCAGGATATTTTGGAGTCAAGGAGTTCTTTCTTCCTTTCTTTCTTAGAGTTTTTGGAAGTGTCTTCTGTGTGCCTGACCAGCTTACATCAGAAGACTGGAAGCTAATGTTAGCATAGTCGTAGCTATCCTGAACTGGGAACAGTCTCTTGAAGTGAGTCTGTCCTGCTTGGCTGTATAGATGGAGAGAGCCTGGATCTTTGTTGACACTGTTGGTTTGTTGGAGCTTCAGGGCCATGGAGCTCCTTGCCTTAAAAGCAAATACATGTGTGTGTGTGTGTGTGTGTGTGTGTGTGTGTGTGTGTGTGTGCGTGAGAGAGAGAGAGAGAGAGAGAGAGAGGGAGAGAGAGAGAGTTCTGTCAAAAGCACCCTCACATAAATACCTTCTCTGATTGTTGGGTTTTTTTGAGCTATTCTTCTCTGTGCCTTCTTATTTTGTGTGTATAGAATTTTTGCCTGCATGTATGTCTGTGCACTGCATGCATGTAGTGCCCTTAGAGACACATCAGGCTTTCTGGAGTTACAGACAATTCTGAGCTATCAGCTATCATATGGGTGTTGGTTATTGAACCTGGGTCTCTCGGAAGAGCAGCTAGTGCTCTTAGCCTCTGAGCTATCGCTCCAGCCCCATGTGGTTTCTGCCCATGAGACATATGAGGTTTGAAGACATCATCCTGTTGCTCTTTTTGGGCTTTGAGTACTTGCTCCTTGGGTGCTGGGGCTATGTGGAGAAAGTATGGAACATTTTGGAGGTGGGTATCAGATGGTGGAAGTAAAGCACCGGAGTGGGCTTCTGAAGGTTGTAGCTCAGCCTTGGTTCCAGCCTTGCTGTGTTTCCTGGCTGACCACCATATGAAGAGTAGCCTCTACACGTTCCTACATCCAGGAATCCTGGCATGCCTCCCCTGTCATGACAGAACTGTGAGCCAAATAAACCTTTCCACTCCTGGATGGCTTCATCTGGCACTTTGACCACAGCGACACAAAGATAGCTAACACTCCTGGAGGAGAAGGCCCTTTGAGTTCTTTAAAAAGTGTACTTTGGAAGTCAGCCGAGTCTTCTCTTCTGGAGCTCTGAAGCTTCAGGTGTGGGAGACCAGCTCATTGCAGACTCTAGCACACACGGGAGCTCAGTCAGTGCTCTGTTCTTCCATCACACCCAGGCCTATGAACACACCCACAAAAATGGCCCTTGTCACAAGGCTCGTTCTTGTTCTTCCATGTCTGTGATTCTGCAGGGTGGTGGGACTGTCTTCAGTTCACTCCCAGTGCACACACTTGGGTTTTTGGTTTCAGACCAAGGATAAGGGACTGAGGTACTTATCTTACATAAGAAAGCAAACCTGGCCTCCAGGTTCTCCCAGCATCCCTCACTCCCTACCTGACATACCCTGCCCTCTACCCTGAACTTTCCAGCCAAGGGGCTGGGCTGCCCTTTTTCAAGAGGCTCTTCCCTATATAATCCACATATTTTGGTCCCTACCTCCCCCCGCACCCCATATGAGTATTTTTTCTTTCTCTTTCCCCCTCTCCTCTCTTTCCCTTCCCATGGAAACTTCATTGACCTCCTTCCTTGGGGCCAGTAAACTTGCCTGAGAGCAGCTTCCCAATAAACCTGTGTTTAACATATTCTGATCTGGCTTGAACTGGTTCATTTCAGCAGCAGAGAAAATAACTCATCACTGGGTGCTATGTGACCTTCGAAGAGTGAGCCTGGAGACCAGCTCCATCCTGGCACAGGTGGCTCGTGCTCCTTTACCATGTCTATGGCGATGCAAACCATGATTTTGAGCATCTGTTCCTTGGCATGGGTTTTTTTTTTCTCTTCTTGGTGGCAATTGGTGGGTCTCACTGACTTGGTGACAGCTTGTGGGAGAAGAGTGAGAACAGGGCACTGCTCAGAGCCGGGCAACATTTCTGACCAGTCACCCACACATGCACAGGGTCCCCTTCTTTGTAGCAAGGTGAACCCTGGTGCTTCCCCTCCCTACTTTTGCTTGCACACTCTCTCTGGTCTTTCTTCTGTGCTTCCTGGAGACGACCGCACACCCGACCGCAGAAGCCACAGCACAGAGAAGCCAGGCAGACTGCAACGGTTAAATGTAAAATGTCCTCCATAGGTTCAAGTGTTCCTAGCTGGGCAGCGTATTTTGGGAGATTTTAGGTGGTGGAACCTCATTGGAGGAAGTAAGTCACTGGGAGGTGGGCCTTCAGGTTTGTGGCCCAGCCACACTTCCTGTCTTCTCTTTGCTTCCTGATCTGTTGAGATCCAAGGAGATGCAACCAAGATTCTTCCTACCATGGTCACTGTAGTGGACCCAAATAAGCCTCTCCTCCCTGAATCTGCTTCTTGTCCAGGACTTGGTCACAGAGATAAGAAAAATGATCAATACACAGGCCTTGCTCAGTTTCAGCCTCTGGCTTTATCCTTAGATCAGTTCATCACAGAAGCTACCAAGCAGTACAGAAGCCAGGAGAATTCTGCTGGTGGTCTCCCTGGAGACGTGCATGCAATTGTCTACTGGGCTTTGTGAGTGCAAGCACGAGACGTGTGTATGTTTGTGTGTGTGTGTGTGTGTGTTGTGTGTGTGTGTGTGTGTGTGTGTTTGTACAGCAGGAGCATCCAGCAGGCCCCAGGGGCAGCCCCTGCTGAAAGCATCTTCTCTACCTTCCCTGCCCCACCCCTGCCCAGCCAGCATGGCTGCTCCTGGCAAGCATGGCTGCTTACCTCACGGCTTCCATCTGGTCCTTCTCCTCCAAGAAGCCTAGCCGCCTTCGTACTTCATGCAGGAGCTTGGTTCCCTGGAAGCCGCTGCCTCGGCCGTCACACTTGACCACCACGGCTCCATGGCTGCTCACCAACACTGTTTCCCAGGTCACCTCAAACCTTTCCGACACGCTCTGACTCCCCGGGGTACCATCCCTAGAAGAGATAGGTTTTCAGTGTGCTGCATGGTGACTGGCAAATAGCACATCTGAGAAGCTTTCTCATAGGGAGCTATGTGTCTTTCCCTTTACCTAGTGCCCTATGCCTGTCCAGAGCCTCAGACTCTGCTGTCTATGGTGGGCGAGTATTATTCACATACCCCTCAGAGAATCCTATGGCACCACAGTCATCTCAAATGTGTGCATGCATGCGTGTGCACAAGCATTTAGGCCAGAGGTCAACTCTGGTGTTATTCCTCAGGCACTATGTGACTTGTTTGTTTTGTGCTGTTGGGGTCTCTCACTGGCCTGGAACTCAAGCAAGGGGGCTAGGCTGGCCTAGCTAGGAGGCCCAGGGACAGTCCTGCTGTCTTCCCTGGGGCTGGGATTATGGGGCATGTCACCATACCTTACAATTTTTAAAACATATTTCTCGGGATGGAATTCAGGTCTTTGTTTGGTGTGTCACACACTTTAGCTATGTCCCCTGAACTCTGGTGAGCATTTCCAACATGATGGAGTTCTTCCTGTCTGCTTGGGGTTTGACGCAACTTGATCTGCTCCCACCCTCACGTCTGTCACCCGAGTGCCCAGGATGTAGGATTCCTCCAGCCGATCCTTGGTTTAGAAACCTTCTTTATGGTTAAGTTGGAAGAAATAACACCCAGGCTGGCCCGGTGACTTTCCCACATTCTCTCAGAGGCAGGCACTTGGAGCTCTCACTGTGGGGAGGGGGCATTGGACTTGGCTCTTTCTCCTCTAAGGACACCATGCTGTGGCTTCAAAGCACTTCCAGTGGAAATTTACACCAAGGGGAAGCAGCTCATGCTGTGGACGGATTCGGGGAGGACAGATATGGGGTGGGGGGCACTCTCGTGTCATCATTACACATCAGTTAAGAGCAAGGATGTGTTCTGAGAACTGTACTTTTGGGTCACGCTGTTGTGTAAATATCAAACTGAGCTATATGAAGATGTCACTAGATGATACAATCTTGTGGGACCATGGTTTTATATACTTGTCAAGGTCAGAAATGTTCTCGAAATCTCACTACAATGATAAAAACATACCACTGATGCCTGGAGGCCCCACTGTGCTACCTCTAGGAGATCTTCAACAGTTACCAGAAGAGCCCATCCTTTGCTGACAAGCCAATCTGTCTTAAGAACTAACAAATAACATCATCTACTCTACTTCTTCCCTGAAGGGTTCACTGTTCCCTTTTCTTGCACTGATGAGTCTCAAGATGGCATCTGGAGGAAGGGTGGGGGGAGGAAAGGGGGGAGGGGAAAGAAAGAAAGAGGGAAGGAGAAAGGAAGGAAGAAAGAAAGAAGAAAGAAGGAAAAAAAGAAGGAAGAGAGGCAGTCATACTTACACCACGAGCAGTAAGGGGTAGTGGGCTGTGTCCGTGAAGGTGGCTGGCTTCAAGATCTGCACTGGCAAGCCTAGGGAAAGGGGGAATACAACTAGGTCAGGGGCAGCTGGGGCGAGGGATTGACTAGCATGTACCCTGGTTCTGTTTCTTCATTTCTGTGGATGCCTTGTGGGAGGGAAAGGCATGAAGTCCACAGAGGGAGCTTCCATGACAACTTCTTGTGGGCCCTTGGACGGGTCACTGGCTTTGTCGCTATCTCTGGGCTGGAACTCAGATTCCACCTTTCACATAGAAGTGTGTGAACCTCCTCAGGTCCCACAGGTACTTGCTGGTGGCAGAATTCCACATAGAATCACCGAGGGGCAGCCCAGCCATGTACTAGGATGGATAGGTTTACCTTTCATTTTATGTGTACATGCGTTTTGCTTGCATAGATATCTATACATGCCTGGTGCTGCAGAGGCCAGAACAAGGTGTTGGAGCCTCTGAAACTAGAGTTACAGATAGTCGTGAGCTGCCCTGTGGGTGTTGGTAATTGAACCTGGGTCTTCTGGAAGAGCAGCCAGTGCTTTTTAACTGCCAAACCAGCTCCACAACCCAAGTGGGTGGAGATTTGTGAGTAGTTTGGTTCTGGGAGAGGAAAAGACTGAGGTGAATTGGCATGCCCAGGTGAGAGCATACTGAACTGACGGAGAACACCTCTCCACCATGACTTGCAGGTTCTCACCAGGCAGGGATGACTACCTGCTAGATCCTCAAGGACAGGACCCTGGGGGAGGAGTTGGGAGAGCTGTGCTCCTGTGGCCATTGAGGTCACAGGTCCTAGGTGTCATGAGATGGAGGGGTGGGGACAGTAAGAACCAGGAAATTATCCCACACCACTTTCTTTGTTCACCCTATCTCCAGAACAAGCCTTCTGCCCCAGCAGGGATGTGTTTATTGAGAGTAACTACAGGCCAGATTACCAGAGGCCCAGCAATTAAAAGGGAATTAGTGGCTTTCTAGTGCAGTGACTGTAGACACACCCTAGCCCTGGCAGCCTCCTCTGAAGACTCATCCCAGCCCTGGCAGCCGGCTCTGAAGCAGCCCTTTCATTATTGACCCAGCCTGACTGCTAATGGCTTGCAAATTGGATCTGTGGCCCAGGGACTGGCAGAGAGGCAGGCAGTGCAGGGTATCACAGAGATATCCACAACACATGATGTGGTTACACTGCAGGGTGGACCTTGGGAAGTAGCTGCTAGTCTGGAGATTACACTGAGGGAGCCACACTGAATGCCACTGACTTTCCCAGAAGCCTCATTTATCAGTGGAAATAAACAAAGCTGTAAACAGGTCTCCGGAAAGGGTCATATTTGCATTATTTAGACTGTTTGCTCCAAAGACTGGCTTCTGTGTCAGGCCTTGGTGGACCTGGCCGTCGTCCCTGGTTCCCTCTCCTGCTGCAGTGCTGGAGACACATGGGGGCAGGGCTAGTGTTAGGGAAGGTGAGGATGTCTGGGTTCAGAATTTGGAGATGGGATGGCAGCAGCAGGCAGAGTAATGAGGAGGAAGGGACATTGGGAGCTGGAAAGGAGTGGAGCTCTCACAGGGAGATGAGTCACACTGGCACCCAGCTGCAAAAGCCTGGAGCAAGGACATGTTGCACCAAGGCACAGTGGCGTGTTGGAGACAATATCCAGAGCATAAGCGCAGTTCTCGGTCAGAGTAGACTGAAACATTCTCAGGCGACACTTTCATGTCTTCCCTTGTTCCCTTCTCAGAGCTGTGACAAGAAAAGGTCTCTGGTCTGGGAGTGTTGGAGGGAACTGGACTCACAGCCCAGCCTGTGTCCACATGTGACTGACTACAGAGATGGATGGAGCTCCCTCCTGGACATCAGGGACAACACAAGCATTTCTGGATGTAGTGTGATCGCACATGATTTGATAGGGACCTAGGGTGCCTTGGTGAGGGGTCTGGGGTGGACTACATGTCTTGGTGAGCTGCTGTCGTATCGTGTCTCCCTTGGGGTCCTGTGAGAAGGGGAGTCCACAGTGGCTTCCCTAAAGCATGCTTATTCTTGCCTAAGGTGTGTTCTGGATAATGCTCTGATGTCTATGTCAACCCAAGGCTCACTGAAGGGACAGTTTATAACCCATAACTCAGTGCAGGCAGCCCTCCTACACAACTTGGTTCATCCTCTGTTCTCTGGACACCCACACAATTTGCTTTCTGTTGTAAATGAGTTGACCCACTGTATTCACTGTGTGGTCCCCACTGTGCCACTTGGGGTCCTTGCTTCCTGCTCCTGGGAGTGTACAGCCTGCAGGTGGCTGCATCATATTTAAGCTGCAGGGCAGAAGGGAATACACACACACACACACACCAATGATCCAGTGCCATTGACTTCACCAACAAGCCACAGCAGATGCAGGAATCTTGGAGATGGCTCTGGAAAGTACCCACAAGGCATATAGCTCCACCTGCCTCTCTAGTGAGTCTTGTCTGCTCTCCCTAAGCCTGGCCACCCTCGCCTCTCGAGACAGAGCTTTTCCAGTGACTATGTATCAGACAGAATCCTCCCATGAATTGAGGCCTGCCCATGACTGCGGAGATGAAGGCCAGAGGGATATGAGTGAAGGACTTTGAGTACCTTTGAGCTCTGGGGGATCTAAGCAACTAAGCAGGCTGTGCCCATTTGCTAGAGAACCTAGAAAGGAGAGGAAAGGAGATGAGGCTTCTTGGACACTAGGCTTTCTCTGGGGTTAAGGACAGTGGGCAGCAACGATTCCAGGGTCAGCCAGTGTGAACCGGGAAGCACATGAGGTTTTGGTGACTTCCCAGCTGCTGTTTGCTGATTCCAGCAAACAGGCTGGCTCTTATAGTCCAGTTCTGAGGCAGCAGTCGTGAACTGAGGCAGTGTGTAAAGTATGGTAAAGGAGGCACATGAGGCAGAGTGTGAAGGAAGAGAGGTGGGAGGGGGGCAGTGTCAGGGATGCCTGGGCAGTGCTGACACCCTCTGGATGCATTTCTACAATTGCAAGACCACTTCCCATCATCCCACAGCCAGCATGGAGGTAGACACTGAGCAAGGAAGACAGCATAGTTCAGAGGACAGAGGTGTTTTCCCATACGTGGAGATAAGAGGAGAGGTTCTGTCCTGCCCTCTTCAGGAGAGGAATCATGAACTCTGCGGTTTTTGCTGTCACCAGATCATCTTGAGGTTGGGCACAGTGAGCTGGCGATAGGTTGGTAGCCAGGCTGGGAGGACCTGGTAGAGCTGGAGCCTCTAAGGTTGACCTTTCAAAGGGCAGAAAGGCAGTACTTACTGTAATCTTCTACTTCAATTTTCCGGTATTCAATCTTAGGCATCTGCCGATCGTTGATAGCCTTCTGCACTTGCTCGTTTGCTTCCAAGTCAAACATTCCTAGAGGTGAGGAAAGAACACATTGGATTCTGGGGCTTAGATGGGAGAGTTGGGGTGAGGGGTTTTCTCACAAGCCTCCTACACTACTTGACACAAGCAGCCCTGTGGGTTGCTTGCTGCTGTACCGAGTGAGAAGATGAGATATCAGATAGTTCATTCAAAGACCTGGAGTCCTAGTATCAAGTCAGGAGCCCGGACTGATCAGAGGTCTCTATGCTACATCCGCCTACCTCGTTTACGACACACATCTGTCTTCAGTGTGGCATTGGTGTGATCCACTGTAAGTCTATTGGGTTCAAGAAAAGCAATACCACTTATCCATGGGGGAAAATAGCCACACTGACCAGGCAATGTCAGCAGAGAAGACGCTGGACTGTTAACCTTTATCAGTCATCCTACCCCCAGATTTCTTGCTTTAACCTATAAGGTATCCAGTCCTTAGAGACTTGGGGTTGGTGACCATAGTCACAGATAGCAATGTTCCAAGAGTAACGTTTTGCAACTCGAGGGCCTACCCTTCCTCACGCAGGTGCTTAGGTTGACTCTGTATTGAGGCTTATCCGCATGGCTCTTTATTTTCAGGTTACAACACACAAATGCCACGTTAGAAATTTCTTCAGATGGAAGGGATGAAGCCTATTTTGCTCACCTGCTGAAATGTCTGTGTGACCCTATTCCAGCAGCATCTCATACGTAATAAGCCCACAGGACTTCCTTTTCTTTTCTTTCTGTAAGTTTACATGTAGGGTTTGGTTTGTGGCTCAGTGCAAAAGGGAATTGTTTTCAAGGGACTCCGCCTTTAGCTTGTCCAGTTTCCTGGAAGGCTAGTATTAGAAAATGTTTTAAAGCCATGGTCCTATGAAGAATGGCCCATGTCTCTCATGAGCCCTTGAAAAACAAAACTGCCCCACAGTTATGTTTCTTGAAGGCATCAGAGGTTAACCCGTGGCTGCCGTGGGTAACACACAGCATCCTTGGGAGCAGGGATGGTGTTCTTTTGGAAGGGTGGGGCAGGGGGCAGTTCCTGTGCCTGTGATGAGCTGATAAGCAGCTGAAAATGATTGGCCAGCTGCCAAACACATGGCCACGCCCCTGGGTTCTCTGTGTGGTCTTTTGCTATCCTTCCAAGACGGTCACAAATGAAACAGGACTGAGAGCTCACTCTGGGGATTTTAGGAATCCAGTGCTCTGTGAGGTGTCAGAGCTCAGGCTGCCTGAGGAAACCTAGGGGTGACTGTTAACCGTTCCCTGCTCCATGTGTGAATTCAATGACACAATGGGAAACAAAGTCCAGCAAACTGACTGTAGTGTCTTTGACACTTGAAAGACTAATTACATACAGACGTTAATGTTCGGTGAACGCTTAGGATTCTGACCTGGTTCACTGATAGTCCCAGACCCAAGCTTAGAGTAAGAATCAAGACTTAAGATGTTATCTCAATGCTTCAGCTCATGGAGGTCCCATATAACCCTTGTGCTGGCTAGGTTTACGGTAACTCGATACAAGCTAGAGTCATCTGGGAATAGGGAACCTCAATGGAGAGAATGCCTCCATAAAATAGGCCTATAGACAGGCCTGTAGTGCATTTTATTGATTGATCACCGATGTGGGAGGGCCCAACTCCTTGTGGGTGGTGCCATCCCTAGGCTAGTGGTCCTGGGTTCTATAAGAAAGTAAGCCGAGCACTCCACGCGGAGCAAGCTAGTAAGCAGCACTGCCCCATGGCCTCTGCTTCAGTCTTTCCCTCCAGGTTCCTGCCTGGAGTAACCTAGATGAGCTATAAGATGGAGTAAACCCTTTCCTCCTCCTCCTCCTCCCCCTCCTCCTCTTCCTCCTCCTCCTTCTTCTTCTTTCTTTTTTTTGTTTTTGTTTTTGTTTTTCGAGACAGGGTTTCTCTGTGTAGCCCTGGCTGTCCTGGAACTCACTCTGTAGACCAGGCTGGCCTCGAACTCAGAAATCTGCCTGCTTCTACCTCCCAAGTGCTGGGATTAAAGGCGTGCGCCACCACTGCCTGGCTAACCCTTTCCTCTTCAAGTTGCTTTTGGTCATGGTGTTTCATCACAGCTCTAACACAACCTGGGAAGAACCTTCCATGGTTACCGCTCTGCCTGAGTGTGTGAACTGATCTAGGTGTGGCATGGGGAAGGAACCTGGGGTGTGCGAGGAGTGGGGGGTGACGTGGCTGCAAACGGGGGAGCTCATGGGTATTAGCACAATCAGCAAAAATGAGCACATCCGTCTCACCCAGCTTCTGCCACCAGGGCCCTATGGGAAATTCATCTGTGAGAGCAAGAAGGTACCAGGACCTACCCAGAGCCTCTTGCAATTGGCGCAACTCTCCTTAAATGTAATTCACATGATCTGTCTCTGAATGTCACTCTGCAATCTTACATGCTGTTCTGGAGGGAGAGGTTCAAACTTGGATCACGAATACGTGTGGCTGTCCTCTGAGCTAGGCTTTCCTAGAGCGAGTGCAGAGATAGCCAAAGGCCCATCACCCACCTCCAGCCCTGTCAGCTTTGGCCTTGTGTGGGGCTTAGCAGGTTCTAATCGCTCAACGACTATTCAGGCCGCCTTTGAATAGCTTGCTTCTCTCTATTGAAATCCCACCTTCTGCAGAAGAGCACCAAAGCAACAGACTATTAAATTTAGTTAAATATTAGATTTCTCATTTAATGATTGCCCACACAGCCGGGTTTATCAGCGGAGAACTGGCGGTCTCACGGGGGAGTTGAGTTAAGCTCGTTTATTTGTTCCCCTAATTGCATTCAAAGAGGGCAGGAGCTCAGAGGAGATACAAGAAAAGATCGGTGCGTTCCCCGAGGACTCTGCTTTTGACTCCGCGGCAGCAGGGACCTCCAGGCTGCAGCACGCACATGGCCACTCCTTAATTAAATGTGAGCCCCTCTAATATTTGGTGGAATTAGCTATTATCAGATCTGGACACAGTGAGCCCACAGAGACAAACGCCTACTCAGGAAGCCACTCCCCTGGCTGTGTGGCCCACGGGCTGTTCCCACAAGGCCCTGGGGCTTGGAGCAATCACCGCTCTGGCTCTGCCGAGTCATTGGAAACTAGTGGTCAAATTACAATGGAAATCAAAAGCAACTGATCTAGAGGGGAAAGGGCTACCTAGGCCCTCAGGTGCAGGTTTCTTTTCTGTAGACTTTGACTCTCCAGGCTGTGTGAACAGATGTGCACACTGCTTCTCCTGCAGCTCTGTGCTGCGTGGGTATCTGATGGTCAGGCAGTCCCGCTCCCTCATCTCCAATGGCTTTTTTTCTTTGCTTCCCTATGCACTATTCTTCCTTGTCCTTGCTCTTTGTGGTAGAGAGCATCCATCAACCCTGGGGCTACCGATATCCCTCAGCTAACTCAAAGAACAGACCCAGAAGTATAAAGATAGTTCAACTCAGTCCACCTCAGACCTCTCTTCACTCCAAGCCCTGTTTTCTTGTTACAGTCAGCTTGACAGTTTGTGATGCAGAGTGATTGTTTTTTGGGCCATATCTCCTTTCCTTGATTTTCTGGCTAGACACTGAACATCTAGAAGGTAGGGTCAGATAAGTGCTCTTCTTTCTAGACTCCAGCATCAATGCCGGATATGAATGGATGCCCATTCATAATGAGGGCTGCTGTGTGTGTACAACACCTAGGGGTACTATGTTCATGGAGGATCATGCTGTGTTTGGCACCCTGGTCAGCTGCTGGTTCTCCAGTGTCCCCTGAGAGCTGTTTGCAGGGAGTGAGGTCTCTAGGTCTCTCCTGGTTCTCTCTGCAGGCATCCCTGAGGGTGTGGACACTACACACCTGGCTTATTCTCCATTTGATATTTGTTATGTGCCAACTTATCTAAGATTCGATGCTAAGACCTTAAACAAAGCTGGCCATTGACCCATCCCAGAACATTGCTGTGTGCATCTCTGGGGTTCAGAAGACTTTTCACAACCAACAGAAGGTTTTGTGGAATTGATTCCGAGGTCTCTGCCCAGTGTGAGTGTTCCCACATCCTTTCCAAGGGCTCATACACAGGGTAACAGACTTCTGAGTGCCTTATCTATTCCTGCCCTTTGCCAGCAGGTGGGCTCCACACTGAGGACTTGGGGCCCCCGAGTCTGGGTTGATCTAGACAACTCATGGTGATGGGAAGGACTCTCTGCCAACACAGAAGGTGTCTGGCCCTTTGACATCAACAAAACAGTCAAGGGATCTGACTAAGCTTGAAATACATACACCTCGCCGGGCAGTGGTGGCACATGCCTTTAATCCCAGCACTTGGGAGGCAGAGGCAGGTGGATTTCTGAGTTCGAGGCCAGCCTGGTCTACAGAGTGAGTTCCAGGATAGCCAAGGCTACACAGAGAAACCCTGTCTCGAAAAACCAAAAAAAAAAAAAAAAAAAAAGAAAGAAAGAAAGAAAAATAAATAAATAAATAAATACACCTCTAATTGTTATCCTTGGATAACAATTGGCATTTTTTTTTTGGTATGTAACCTGGAAGGAGTTTAAAAAAAAATAGAGGGGCTGGAGAGGTGGCTCAGAGGTTAAGAGCAGCAGCTGTTCTTCCAGGGAATTCTCAGTACCCACACGGGACTCACAGGTGTAACTCCTGTACCAGAGGATCCAGTGCCCTCTTCTGGCCTCTGAAGGCACAGAGCAGCCAAGTGAGGTGCAGAATAGACACACACTACAGGAAATAAAATTAAAGTAAGTAGTGGAGTTATTATAAGTCTTCTCATCTGTCTATTCCAACATTTTTGGAATATCCTCAGAAAACAAAGGGCCCAGTTACCACAGAAGCAGGAGAATGTGCGTTCTCTCTCACCGCTGTTCAGGGATTAGGAGGAGATGCCCATTCATGTACCGCAGCTACATCACTGGGGGAGGTCATCCCCGTTATACTGAATGGCGGTAGCACAGGTAGCATGTTATAACTGCTTTGTGTGGTCACATGACACTTCGGTGTGACCTTACAGACACAGAAACTGTAAAAACATCTA